AAGTGTTCAGTTAATAATTTTCGAGCCTTTCTACATAGCTTTTCCCATATTAAATTTAATTTCTATTATTAAAGTAATTTAATTTTTAATTTTATCGCTTGGCTGTTGGCATTTCTGTCTTGTCTCCCGAACTGTTTTGCACGGCTACGACCTGCTTTCCTTTGCAACGTCATTAGTTAGTATTTTGTTGTCTTAACAATCCAATTTCTCATGCATATCTGCCACTAACTGGCAATTAATCGGCTATTCATGCATTGTAATTGCTGTGCTGCGCCGATATTATTGATGTCAGCACACCCAAACACACAACACACAACACACACACACACAGTCATAAATTAGTTTGCATATTTGCACTAACACACATGTAAAAAGAAGAGAAAAAAACTTAAGTATATGTCCCAACTGCTAAAAAAGTTGCTCTACTTCCTGTGCATGGCTAAATTATTGTGGTGCCAATACAATGCAAACAAACACACACTAACACAACGGCAACTTGGCTATCGATCGTTGACGTCGTTTAATAACGACTTATTATAACACAGCAACAACAGCGGCGGCGGCAGCGGCAGCGCAGTCTATAATGACCAGAAAAATTAATGCTGATCACCGTGATATACACACATGCAGTAACAACGCAACAACAACGTCACCAAGAGGCATAGACTAATAATAGCAACTTTGCTGTGAACACTGCTGCAACATGTTGCCGATCAACATTCGTTCGATACGCCGCTCACCTCGCACACAAACACACACACGCACACAAATGCTTTTGGCTATGAATATGTAAGAGCCTCCGTCCAAATGTTCAGCCACGTCTACATCCATGTCCACTTAAGAGAACCGGTATAATTATTGTTCGGCTGCATATGAGAACATGCGAGCGCGATGTTTCGCCACATTTGAGGCATCGCTTCGCTCAAAATCGCAGTTAGAATATGAAATTATCCGACAGCTTAGGCTTGGTGTTATTGTTGTGGTCAACTTTATTGCCGCAACTTTCCACTTGTAGCAAATGCTTCATTTTAATTACAAGTATTGTTTATTATTACTAAAAAATAAGGCGCGAGCTTCAACTCATTTGCTCTGAAATCTGATTGAGATGATTTGAGTTCATCTACTACTTTTATCGTTGCCACATTATACTCGGGCGGTTTAAATGGTCGAAGATTGCTGCAGTTTATTTTATGAATGAAACTTTCTGAAGGAAATATTGCCCACGACCACTTCATATGTACTGTTTAATATCGTGTTATGAACTTCAGGTAGAACTATCGCTCGCATTATCGATTTTCAAGATAAAGGCTTGGTTTTTATGCTTCTTGTGGTGGTATTTCCTCCTCTTTAAAGTCCTAGTAAAGTCAATCTTTATTTTCTGAACCGAAATTGCATGTTTCTTCACTATTTCAGTCACCTAATTCTCATCAGGCTTATAGAATAAGTAAGGCATCTTCGTGTATATTTATTAAATATTCGGATAGTTAATTCGTCCTCTGTACTATACTTAATTCTTCCGTTATTCTCTCCAAGAGCCTTTTATTATTTTGAGAATGTGCTTATTCTATATTGCTTAGTATGAGTCTAATAAAGGTTAATTGAATGTATTAAATGCGCTTATTAATGACCGCCCGTTTTTCTGGGGAGTTGAAAAGAAGCTAAAACAAAGCAAACAAGCAACGATATTTACACAAATACATGCGCACAATGCCACAAAAATGTCATTACAAATACAAGTAGTTTAAAATTATGCTCATATCAACGGCGTTCAGCGCAGTGGGTTGAGAGCGTGCCGCCAGGACGCACACTTGTTTATATATAGATGGGCTGGAGGCGCAACACACAACAAAAATTCGAACGAGCTGTTACGACAACAACAGGCAATTCGGCAACGACATCAACAATGAAATAGAGCAATGTAATGGTTCTAGGTGCAGCAACAGTGAAGGAAAGGAGGCTAATAGCACAGAAAGGATATGCAAGCTTGGCTCAGCTCGACCGACCGACCGACCAACCGACAGCAGTTGCACGTGCTGGTCAGTTGTGGTGGGCGAACAAGTAGCTAACATATGGAGGTCTCCAAGTCAGCAGCACAGCTCGCGTCGCAGTCATCAACAACGACGACGACAGTTGCTCGTTGAAACTTACAGCCGACTGCAAGGAATGCAACCGACACAAGCAGACGGACATACCGGCATACGGTTCAACGATTCAACTGATGGCGTGTGCGAAGCGCCCGACAAGGATAATGCGAAATTATGAGCAGACAATGCAGCAAACGTGCTGAAGAAGAAGAAAACCGAAAAGCCGACGAAAGCGAGGAAGAAAGGAGTAAAAGAAATTGGGAATTGCGAACGGCAAGTATACGAACAATGCAAGCAGCTTATCGGTGTGCATAGGCTGTGTGGACACATTAACTACTCACAGGCATGCACACACATACGCGCATATCACATATATTATATATGTATGTGTGTGAGCAGGCAATGCATTTTGCTGGCAAATTTAAAGGTGTTTCCATTGCCAAGCATTAGAAAAGTGCGGCAACTTATTATTGTTATTGTTGCATTTAGTTGTTGGTATATACTTATGCTATACATTGTATTTGTGTTAAGTTGATATGTGTAAGCCTATGCATGTGTATGTGTATGCAAGCCGAAGGCATTCAGTGCATTTAGTATGCAACAAAGTACATAGACAGCTAGCTCAGGCTTGGATAATGTGCTCATGTAGCCTACGGTTCGTCTAAGCTTGTTGTCGTCAACTGCTACACTAACACCAGTAAATATAAATAATAACAATGACAACAATAATGAAGAGTGTAGTGTTGCCTGCTGGAAAGTGGGTAATTTGGTAAATTAAGAATTAGAGACACTTGCAATGTGTGGGTGTTAAACGAGGGCGGTGCAGTAATATTTTTGTGAGAGAACTGACTTAATATTGCCAGAGGTTTGCAGAAATATCGATTTTTTATTAGAAAATTGCATACGCCGGCAAATAAGTAATTAAAGCAATTAAGTGTAGTAAATTTGTAAGCAAAAGCTACTTTAAAATTCTAGTTGGCTAATCCACGTTGTTGCTGAGAGTGGCCTTCATGCAGTCGCAGCTGAAAACGTCCATTTTTTGTTATATTGTTAATTCTTAGATATCGGTTTGTTTTTATACAATAATTCGTTATAATTCACTGGACACTAGAAATGTCTTAAGGTAGTTTTGTACGGTTTTTATTTGCTCTGAAGCATGCACATAGACCCCAATAGGTCTAGTCATCTTGCAATTTTGTTCACATACTGACATAAATACCTTCTAAACAATATGAGTAGTGCAAAAGTGTCTAATAAAAGTTTACAAAAATGTCCATTGGGTTTTTGTTGCTAGGTGAGAAAGAAGCTTCCCAACAATTATTCAACTGACCAGTCCCAATTAAAAGCCAACAACAAATATAAGCAAACATGCATGCCAAAGGGTGTATGCTCTTACATTCAAATCGCTCACAACCAGTGTTGCCAACTGGCATGTATGAAAAATCAAATAAAAAATGTATGAAAAAAGCTTTCAAATTTAAACGCGGTTATGGGAAATTATGTAAAACACGACAATAATTTTGTATTTTAATTATTTTTATTTTTTCTAACAAATATTTTTTTCAAAATGTGCTTTAAATAAAGATCGGACTTGGTGAGCTACCTTGAATCGCACGCTATTACAACTCGTAGTACAGTATATTCAAACTCTGCGCTCTGTTTTCTTACCTGCACAACGCTTTCTTTTTCTTATGCTTCTTCTTCTTCCCCAATTTTATATTGATTTCGGAGTACTGCATATACCTTACTCTTAGTTTGCAATTCAGTCTTTTCCTTATCTTGCAACGTTACTGCTTCTGCATTTGCATATTCCTTGACTGCGTTCGCTTTCTTACCGTTAGCTTCGGTCAAGCGTCTGTCGTCAGCGCTGCCCATGAACGATTATATGTTTAAAAGTACATGCATAAGCAATAAAGTATATATAATATATAAGCACATCTAAACTTACTTACACATACACACACACACACATTTCAATGTATTTGCATGTACCCCCTCTGTGTCGCCCCCTTGCCACACTGTAAAAGGATAATTAATGAAATTAATGCCTGAGTGTGAGTTGAAGTGCGCAAAATATTCGATAATGTTTGCATAAAATGTAAATTCTAAAATATGTGAGCATTAAGTAAGGCGGCGCTGGCGAGCGAGTACTGCCGTTGGGTTGGTGAGTGGCGGCGGGGGCAGCAGAGGGTGAAATGCGCAACATTTTGCAGCGGGTGAGCAATGTGCGAGGCGATGGTACAGTTAAATGCACTGCTGCACACACACATATGCATTCGCATGTGCAGTTAAATGTACAGTTAGCATTTGCAACTTTTTGTGCGAAGGTGGCAAAGTTTGCAAAATATATTTGCATTCTGCATTTGTCGGGCTAAGCGCAGCACGGAGGCTGAGTGTGGCATGTGGCAGAGGAAAGTCAGGCAAGGATATCGTAATGAGACTATGGCATGTATGATTGTGAGTGTGTGTGCGTGTATGTTCGGGTGTATATGTAAGTGTTGGCATGCTTTTAGGGGCAAATAATGTGCAAATCAGGTTCAATTTGGGTGTGTTCGCTCGAGCCAGGCGCTCCTTGCGCTGTGCGCTTGCCTGTATTTAGTGTGGACACATGCACGTATTACAGTTATATATGCATATATAGACACAAGAAAAGAGTGGATACATACAGATGTGAATAATGCATTGGTAAAGTAGTTGCTGGAAATTCTTTGCGAACTTCACAAGATTTGTTGCATGCATTAAGGTGTGAAACAAAATTAATATGAGTAGATACCGCGGGTTGTAATCGAAAGTCTCAGAGACCAAATAACTATTGGCTTATCTTTATAAAGGAGCTGGAAGCTTATACAGTGCCAGAATAATAACAACAGAGTAATTCTTGAATTTATATATATATATTTTCTTCCCTATCCGCAGTCTTTCCAAAATGCTTTATTGACATGGCGGAGGGCTGTGAGGAAACAGAGAACCAGCCAAGCAACCGTAAAGCCGATAACGCGCCGACCATGCTCGGCACTGTCCTGCCATGCGAAGCCGCGATTACAGCCGCCTCACTCGGTAGTACCACTAACGCCGGTGGCGGTATTGTCATTAAACGCGAACCGACAATTAACTCTAGCGCCTTTGTGGACGCCAGCGTACATCATTTGAGCGGCAGCATTTCGGCTACAGTCAGTCTAACAACAAACGGTACGCCCAGCCCCGGTGGTACACCACCGCCGTCCACAACACCAATTGTCACACATTTATTATCTATCTCACCAAACGGTTGTCGACCGATAACACCAGCGTTACAACAACAACAACGCACGCCCACACCCATAACGGGCATACGCGGAACAGGTTCAACTGCGACAACAGCGGGCGCGGCCTGTTCCTCCTCATCGTCGTCGTCATCATCTTCATCTTCCAATTCATCTATGACTTCATCCACTTCGTCCTCATCATCGACGGCCTCGTCTTCGACGACAGCGGCCGTCGCGCCCAACTCGAATGCCAACAAATCGCCTTGCAGCATAGCGGGTTCACCGTATTCCACATCGGCGGTCGCATCTTCGGTGCGTGGCGGTATATCGCCAACATCGCCGCCACTTTCGTCTGTGGCACCCGGCACACCCATTGGGTTGGAGGCTAGCAACGGTAGCTGTGCTTCGACAGCTGCTAACGGTATCGTGGTGACTAGTAGTGGGTTGACGGCAGCGCCATCTGCGGCGGCGCCGTTGACAACATCAGATACGTTAGTGAATGCCATGTCGCCGATCACAGCAGCGCAACAGCAACACCAACGTACACCTTCACCAAATGCTGAACCGACGTCGTTGCTGCCACATGTGGCATTGCACATCAAAACTGAATCGGTAAGTAAAAATTTAAACTATTGGTATTTTGGTGGGAACTCGTTTCAAGTGGCGAGTGGGGCCCTTTTATCTTAAATAATACTAAGGCGCTGTATGTGGAATGCTGCCTTCGAAATAAATGTATACTGTCTTTGGGCATAATTAGCAAAAGGTAGCAGTTGCAGTTACCAGAATTTGGTTAACATCTTTGGTTTTCGCTGCTCTAAAGCCTTGAGAGAAATTCTTTAGATTGTGCTTTTTATGTAGTTATTTGCTTAAACCTTCTTCGTATTGCAATATTATGACAGTTAAAGGTTTCAACTGAGAATAAAATAAATTAAAAGGGCACAACTGTCATCCCTTTTACGTGTCTGATCCACTTCGAATCTCCGCGTGTCGCCAATCATTTCAATTCACTGGAATTAACTTCTTAAGCATAGCCGCCTACTCACCTTTCAGATCGCTTCCCCATTGCCGCGGCATGCTGCACGAATTCCGCTTGCCACAAACAACACCGTGCACACTGAAATTAGAGCCGCGTGCAAGCTACCATTTTTGCGGCCTGTCAAACTACCTGTTTGGTTCCATGATTTTCGGTTTATTCTGCCAAAGACATTTCATTCTGCTCTGCGCCGCTGCTTGACTTTGACTTTGGCCTGATTTCGAGCATCGAATGTCGCAGCGCTCGCAAAAAAATGTAAGCAAATTATTCGAGAAAGAATATCGACGCGGCTCACCTCATTTGGTGTGCAAATAAACAACAAATCTGAACATAGAAATCTTAAGCCGCAACAAAGCAGTCAAAAATGAGTTCTTCTCAGCGGTGAGTGAGCAAGAAAAGAAACAAAATGCCGATAATTAGCGAGAAACGAGTTAGAACGAGTTCCATGCCGCAAATTTGTTGATGCGCGCTCTTAAATATTGGACTTGGCACACTTTCCGGTGAAATCTTGTTAATTGCACTGTTAACTTGGTTGAATAGACTAATGTGACCAGTAGCAAAAATTGCATGAATGCTGTGTTAGCCTTATTAGAAGAGCATAGTGTTTACTAGGCCTCTTTTGAATGTGTATTTGGAATAAATATCTATGGATGCTATGCACTTACTTTACTTTCGGATCGAATTTTCTAATAATTATTTGTTCCATACGAGTTTTTTCAATTGCTGTTACAAACCGGCTCTGGTACTACCCCTCAATTGAATGTTACTGACTGAGCTGATTTTATGTTGCGTATAGAAATACTAAGCTTACCCTCTTTTGATCGTTGCCGAAACTTATTTTTGTAGCCATTAGTTACCGTCCGCTTTGCCTGGTTGTCAACGCGGCAGAGAGAGCCGCTACAATAGTAACGTTTTTGAGTGCCACCACCAGCTGAGAGTGAGTACTTTCTTCATCAAGTCAATCTTAATATTATCTGATGTTTGCTGGCGGTGTTGCTGGTTGAGACTCTCCTACGTTCCATGATGAGTAAAGCTGCTAAGTTGACAGTCCTTGGACGGATATAACTTTGCGCCGTTTCCGTTATGTATACCCGATAGTATTAAAAACGTTTCAGAATGATGAAATGCTATGGGTGCAAAGTACAGTCTTTAGTACACCCTTCTCTTAGTTTCCTTTCTGTTATGCTTCATTACATTTTATTTAGCTTTGTACTCAGTTGTTTGCGCATTTAAAATATAAATTGCATTTGTCTGTTTTGCAATTTTTTCCTCTTATTCTTCTTTTTCTTGTTCTTCGGCAATAGTTTTGTATTCGTTACACTTCTATGCTGCCATCGTGCCTTGCTCGTATGTCACTGTCAAATTCCCAACATAGCATACTCATTAAGCGTTCAATAGCGTTGCTCGCTGGCACCTTTTCGTCCAAATAATTTCTTACATTGCATTAAACTTGCAGCTTTTTGTTTTTCTTCTTAGTTTCTGGCTTGCTGTTGCACCGCTGAATCGCTGATTTGTGCGAAAGTTATGTGCGCATGCGCCGTGCACCGCCGCCACCCACTCCGCTGCACCACGAAGCGCACATTATTATTTGTATCGCAGTGCCACGAAACTTCACACACACAAGCACACACACACACTTATAAAGCTGTTTGACCATTTGGTTTCGAGGACATGCGAATTTTATTTATTGCTGACAGTTACAGTTATTTGGTTATTTTGGCTTCAATTCTTACCAACACTCTCGCAGCTGTTTTTGTTGCTTTTAGCTGTGTTTTTTTGTTGTTTTTTTTGTTGTAATTTTTTGATGTTTTTTGTATTTTTTGTTGTTTTTGCTGTTCTCCTGCGGTTGGTGTCGAGCTCATTTGTTTTTTGGCCGCGTCGTGGTGCAGCAATTGTTGTTATTGGCGCTTGTTGTTATTCTTAGCATTTTTTAATTGTTATTTCGCTTGGCGGTCGCAGGCTGCGCACAAAATTGGGACACTGAAAGATTTGTTGTTTTCATTGCCGTTTGCCGCGTGCAGCGGTGGCTGCTCGCGCTTTGGCTACTAATTCGGCGCGCTTTGGCCAAGCATACACAAATAGTTGGCAATGCGGCGGCAAAGATGTGGAGGGCAATCCATTTTGTTTTGGTTTCAAAACAAAAGCAGCAACAACATGCGACCAGCAATAATAATAAGTTTATATGGCACACACTGTACCTCCAATATATTTGTTATTGATTTTTTTTTCTTTTTTATCGATTTATATATATGCCATGTTAAATAATTGAAATAATTTTCGCATTACAAGCTTCGGCTTTGTACCTCAATTGATTTGTAGCTGTGCTCATTATTTTGGCATGTTGCACTCAAACAGCGACGCCCGTTATTCGCCCAGCGCTGTCGCAGCCGCAGCTGGTGACATGCAATTTATTTATTTATTTAATTAATCACTTGTGTTGGATAATTGCATTTATAATAATCTCGATTTAATATGAAATAGCTAAATGCCGGCGCGGCATTGCCAAGCTATTAAGGCTTTGCATACACTCGCTTATATCACCAATACCCATATATATAAATATATATGTATATAACTACACACTAGCAACGCAGTCGCTTATGCTTGCGAGCGCTTATGACGTGTTGCTCGCATTGCCTTATTTGTTGCTGGCCTTCGTTTAATTATTTAATTAATCATGCAATTATCTGTAATTTCTGTTATGAAGCCATTTTAGTTGGTGATTATAAATCGGCTATGTTCGCAGCGTTACTTTTCCACATGCCCAAAGCGCCTTATATATTTCTGCAACTGCAATTTTAGTATCAAATGCAATTACAACAACAAAAAAGACACTGCTGAATAAATATTGCGCGGACTAGTTGATATATGTGCGTATGTATGTGTATATGTAATCGTTGATTGTGCAAGTAGTGAGAGCGATATCTCATGGTTTTATTTAAAAAGGAGAGTTTTGAGCTCATAATTGTCTGCGCCGACTATGACAGTGGATATAAGCCATACCTAGATATTAAAAGTAAGTTTAGAATACGATTAGGTGATTAGATTTCAAATGCAAGTCTTTACATGTCCTACATGACCAGACTCACAGTAGTCCTTCAAATCATTGGAATGCAATAGAAGAATGCGTTGGGAGACCCCAACATTTAGACGGCTCAGCGTCTAGGGTTACCCTAATTTCTTAATATGAGTCGAGTGGTCTAATTATCGATAGCAAATATTGATTATTTATAAATGCAAGTATGTCTAATGGTTGTTTGATACAACTTAAAAGACGACTTATTTTACAACTAGATTACCAGTTGTCTGTGTTTTTTCAAACTCTTGTAGTAAATTGTATTGCTTTTCAAATTTGCTGTTCGTTTAAAAATTATAATTTCTTGCTCATAGCAAATCGCAATATTTTCCGCTTTTGTCCGTTAACATCTTTAACGATAAATTTCGGCATTCTACTCATAACACCTTTCGGCTATACATTACTTTATTTAACGCCTTTGAAGTCTCAGAAAATTTCACCAGCGCGTAGGGCAAAACACAGACCAATATAGATACATATAAACTTGCTTAAGCGCCTAATTAATTGCCGATAATTGAGCGCTTTGCAATTAAGCCGAAGACAAATTTTTATCGCAACCGTCAGTGTCGCCATTGACAGAGACCCCCCGTCACTGTGCGAGCGCTCGGCTTGTCATCTAATCGCCTGCAATATACCTACTCGTGTACGTGTGCCACGACGGCCGAGCACATTTGACCGCCACTAAGCGCGCCATTAGCTCAGCAGATAACCGCGCGGTGGTGGTCGTGATGGCTGACCATAAAAAATTTTGTGTCTACATTTCCGTGCCAATACCTAATTGTTAGTCATACCTTTTGGGTAAACAATTTAAATGCGCGTTTCTCTATTTTTGGTTTGGCAGTGACAAAAAATGCATGCAAGACAACCACCGCTGGAAAACCAAAGGAAAAGCCAGAAAAAAGAATTCCAACACAAACACAAGCTCTGCATTTGCAGCGTAAAAACCGGCAATTATACCAAGCTATAACAATTATAAAGGCAGCAATAGCAAACAATAATATAAAAGCGAATGGAAGGAGGTAATAAAAAGGAGCCAAAAAGGAGTTATGTGTGAGTAAGCCAATATGCGCAGTGATGTGGAAAAAACTGGATTTATACATGGCAGTAGCTGACGAGAATTCTATGCGAGGGCGAACGGTAGGAAAAATTCGCGAGATGACAAAAACACAGGAGACCGCAGCCACAAAATAGTGGTAACCACTTTAATGAAACTGTTCAAAAACAGAGGTCTTGGGCACGTACGTTATATGTCACACGCGTGAGAAATTTCTTCTATGAACCTTCTGTTTTTCCAACAGGCCCTTCTTCCCTAAAACTCACGGTAACCAAGTATCTACATCGAGCGTTACGTTCTTTCATTTCGCTGCAGTCAATCGCGTCGCCGTTGGTTGTGGTCGCTGGCTGTGCGCTCTACTCGCGCGTTGGACACTCAGTTAGCGTGGCGCATTGGTGGGGGGTAGCCAATCAGTGTTTGCACAGCTTTAAGTATCGAAAAAGAAGGAA